GGGTTTTTTTTGGGTTTGTTTGGGGAAAAATCAACACAGACGCGCAAAGCAATGGATTTAAAGGGGGTTGAAATTCCGGGGTAGGAAATGCAAGGGGGTTAAGAGTTAATCAGGTGTTAAACGACAAAGGAGGGTTTTATGAGTGGGTATATTTGGTTTGGGGTTTAAAATTGAAACGAAAAAAGGGGTGTTGGAAAAAGTGAAATTGCATTCAGTCAATGGGTTGGGTTTGTGTTTTTGTGAGCGGGGAGGAGCAGATCGTTTGAGGGGGGGAAAGGGGCCGAAAAACCCGGATTTTGTGGGAATTGGGGGGTTTTTTTAACCCGGGGGCGCATTGGGTAAGGCGTCCGGGAAAATAAAAGGGGGTTTCCCCCCAGCGACTTTTATATTAAAAAATTTGGAAACTTTTTTTTAAAGGGGGTTTTTTGGTACTTTTTTATTAAATAATCTTAAAAGCGGGAGGGGGTTTTTAGGGGAACAAAAAAGGGTTTGGGCTGTTCTTTTTTCCTATTTCCCAAAAGGGGAGCCTTTTTAAGGGAAAAGGGATTATCGTCCCATCTCTTTTATTATGGGGGGACAAAAAAATTTTTTTGGAAGGATCGGGCCAACAAAAAAAAAATTTCCTGGGCAAAAGTGTTTGGGGGGGGGCAATATGGGGTGCCGGGGGGGTTTATGTATAAAGGTAACGGTATGATTAGAATTTTTATTGAAGAAAGGTAAGATTGGGAGTTGGGGGGGGGAATTGGCTAAGTTGGGAGGCGGCATATGAAAGTTGGGAACGGGAGATTAGGGAAAGGGGGGGGGGGAATTTTTGGGGGTTTGGGCGGGGGGGGTTTTTGGGGGTTCGGGGGAAAAATTTTTTCATGGGCCAAAATTAAAGTATCAAGAGGCATCTTTGGGGTGCGGGTTTTGAAAGGGGGAGGGTTTGGGAGATCGGTTTTCAGAGGGGAAAAAGGGTTTTTTTGCGTCAAGGTTTTTTTCCCTTTCCCCAAATTTTTTTTTTGCTTGTTTTAAAGGAACCCCTTTTATAGAGGGAATAAGGGTTTTATTTGGAACAAATGGGAGGGAGTAATGAAAAAAAAGGGGTGGGGGGCGGGGGAAATTTGTTGGATATGTCGAGGGGACACGAGGGTTTTGGGGGAAGAAAAAGGGAATTTGTTTTGGGGTTAAAAAAAGTTAGTGAAAGTTTTAAAAAAGGTACTGGCTTTGGACGATAAACAGGGGGAAAACAAGTAAAATGAAAATTTTGGAAAAAAGGGTTTCCCCCGGGTTGAGGAAGGAATGGTGTTTAAAAGGGGGGGAAAGGGGGTGGACCAATAAAAGATATGTGGGATCGTTTATGTAAATGATATCAAGTCAGCAAAAACAAAAATAAATTCCGTGCGTATCGTTGATATTTTTCTGAACGTCTTAGGGGGGGGGGTTTTAGAGCTGCTAATTTAAGGTTTTTCAACAAAGGGGGATAACAACGAAGGGGCTATTTTAAAAAGTAAACTTGGCAAAGTTAAAAGGGAATATTTCCCATTTCTTTCGTTTTGAATTAAAAAGGTTACAAAAAAGTGTTTTTTGAAATTATTTTGGGGGAAAAGGGAGCGAATGGGTTTAAATAGAGCGGTTGTTTTACATTCCCGGGTTTGGGGGGTGGGCTGGGGGGCTTTTTAGAAGGGCCCAAAAAGAGGATTTAAAAAGTATGTAAATTTAAAAAAAATAGTTATAAAACGGGAAAGGGGGGCAAAGGGGAAAAAAGGGCGGTCCTTTTAAGGATTTCACAGGATATGCGGACCGGGGTGGGGGGGGGTCGGGGGGGTTCATGATAGGGGGAGGCAATTGGGGTTTCGGGTCATCATAAAAGTGAGGGAACACTCACAAATTAAATTTAGAAATCTTGATAGGGCAGAAAGGAAAGGCTTGGGGGACGGGCGGTAAAAAAAAAAAAGGGAAATTTATCCGTTTTAAAGATTGGCCCTAATATTTGGGGGGGTTTTTTTTAAAAAAATTGCGTTTTTTTTTTTAAAAACCCAAAGTAAGAGAAGTTTTTTTATAGATTTTTACATGGAATCTTGCCGTCAGGGAAAGGTTTTTAAAAATATAAAAAGAATACAGAGGATGGGGAATGCAGGGTTTTTTGGAGGGGTTTGGGGACTATTTATCATACGGTGTTTTTTTTTTGCGAAATTTTTTATTGAACTTAAAAAGGGTTTTTGGGGAATTTTTTGGGGAAGGGTTTTTAAAGGTTTTGTGGGGGGAGGGGGGTTTTTTTTTGCAGGTTTTTTTAGGGTTTTTTTTAAATTTAGTTTTAACTGGGGGGAAAAAAAAGGGTTGAAAATGCGATTTTGGGGATATGATTACGGATTATATTACATGATTTTGGGCCCAAGGGGGGAGGCGGGGGGCGTGCGTGCCCAAAAATTAAAGGGATTGGCAGAAAATTTTTATAGGGCACAGGGGTAGAAAAAAGGGGTGTTTTGGAGGGGGATGGGGAGGAAAATTTTTTGTGGGGTTTTTTCGAAAAATTTTAAATTTTAAAAGGGGTTTTTTTTTGGGAAATTTTCCAAAATGGGGAAAGGGGTTTCGAAGGGGGTTTTTTTTCCCAGATTGGGGGGTGAGCAAGGGGGAGTGTTTATATGGTGTATAAAAAAGAGTTTTGTATCTAAGGCATTTTGGGGTTTTTACCCCGAGGTTTTTTAAGAAAATACACAATTTAAACATTGAGGAAAGGGGTAGCACCCACATTGCATATTTTTTTATCATGTATAAACATTTCAAGGACTTTTGATGAAAATTTTCTATGAGCTCAAAAATGTGCAAGGGTTTTACTGTTTTTGATTTTAAAAAGGGAAGTGGAAAAAATGTTTCCTAGCGTATAGCAATTGATTTTTATTTTTTTTATTTTATGCTGTGTTACGTGTGGGTTTTCCCCGTAATATTATATTAAATTTTAACTGTTTGCAAATTAAATTTTTTCTTTTTTTTTGCGAGATGTTTTAAAAAAAAAAAAACGTAGTTTTGTTTTTTTTTATTGGAAAGCTTTTTATTGTGACTTTTAGTATTTTCCCGTTTCCTTTTTTTGAAAGTAAATACCTATGTTGTTTTAAAATCTCGGGGATAATCGCCAAAATTTTAAAGTTTTGAGTATCGTGGTGCTAGTTTAAGCACCTTTAAAATCTTTTTGAATTTTGTCTTGCCCACGTGTGTTGGAAAAGGCAGAAAACCTCACCTAGTATGTGCCCGATTTTAGTCTCATGAATTGTAAAGTGTGTGCTTGTGTGTGTCATTGTGCGTGTTTTTTTGTTTTATCTCTGTTTTATTGTACAATCTTCATAATTTCCAGTGTTTGATGTTTGGTAATATGTAACCTTGTTAGAGATGTTCTTTAACAAATAAAGCAATACCACTGTAATGTATAGTGTTGTGTGAGTGTATTATCACTGTAATATACGGTGTGTTGTGTGTGAGTGTAATAATACCAATGTAACATACGGTGTGGTGTGTGTGAGTGTGTATTACCACTGTACTGTATGGTGTCGTTATTAGGTCTCGGGTTAAGTGCGATTCTAGTGCAGTAATCTTTTGTCGTGTATCTTTTTAATATATTTGTCATTTGTATCGCACTGTTTTAAATAAAATATAAAAAAAAAAAAAAACTTTATATACGCATGATTGATTCTTTTTAAAGTTTATAATTAAGGTCTGTACCCTGATACCGGTTTGGTGTTCATGCAAGTTCTTGATGTTAAGTTTTAGTCTGTATGGTATACAGACATATCTAGACAGTTTAGTGACGTAGTCCATTTGTCTGAAAGTTTTATATGGGTGTATTGTAACAGTATAGAGCTTGTTATTGTGTTCTAAGCTGTATTCTTTTCTGTTTATTTGTATGTTGGGATATGTTCAGCTGTATTGTTAGGGATAAGTATGTAGATTATCTAGTCAGATTATGATGTTAGGTTTTGGTTTTTTGATTAATGTGAAGGATGGGATTTAACTGATATAACTTCTTTGTATATTTTATGTTCAAGTGTATTGAACCTTTGTCAGATGTCATTTATATGTACAATTTATATATATGCAAGGTTTTGTATATATGTCAATTCATGACCCTGTGACATGTAATTTTGTTTTTAGTTATGTTCTTGATGTAAGTTTTTGTTGTAATATCTTGCGAGCATGTAAGTACAATCCGTTTGTCAGTTAATTTGATTAGGTTCCATACTGTTTCTTTATTTTTATGTTAAACTGTATTGGTTTTAAATAAAATATAAAAAAAAAAAAAATGAGTATTGTAAAGGAGTTTGAAGATTATGTGGATTAATAATATATAAATAACAAAGTGGAAAAAATAATGCAGTAGGTTTGGGTTTTCCTTGATTATAATAATAATGATGTAATCTTACTTAACATAGTTACATTGGATGTAATGTATATGGGATGAGGGACAGGTGTGACAACACAACGTTAATCGTCTGTGTTCATTTAGACAATGAGATTTATAATTTTGAGTAAGAACTGATACTGTGTTCTTTTATTTATTTAATGTATTGTGTTGTTTTAAATAAAAATATAAAAAAAAGATATTATTTCTACACGGAAAGTGCGTTAAGGAAATTTTTCTTCGCCACTGTACTTTGTTGGCTTCGTGTATCATTCCATATCTTGCGAACACACTACGTAATTCAGCCTCATCCACCTCAGAAGGAACATTCGAATCTTGACCCAAGTGTACCTCCTGGATACATCCACCAGGTGCACTCTGACCTCAACCGCTCCATACACCCGGGTGGAGAGCAGCTTGACGAACAAGCGAGTGACCCCTTTCAAGGCAACACCGTATAGTTCCACATGAACCATCCTGTAAGTGTTCCTTATAATGGAAGACAAAAAAATATTGGCCACATCTGGCGTTACAACTCCTTTCGTCAGCTCAATACTAACAATGTTAACACGCTTCCATAGTCCTGTAGGCATCATACTACACAGACAAACCACACAAGTAAAGGTTGGCGGAACAACTGACCAGACGTCCACTCAGGGGACTGAGACGTGTTGGAGCGATGTTCCGTTGAGCTTCGAAATGGTTCACATGATGCTTCTTGGAGAGAGCAGACAGCAAGCCAATCAGTTGCTTACCAGACTTACCCACAGTAAATTAAGGAGGTAGGGGTGAGTACTCTGTGGATATGTATACCTACTGACACGTATGTCTCAGTTTAGATACATAGTTATGTATATGTTTCTAAATGTTTATTTATCTAGTATATTTTAGTCTCTTTTCTAGTGATTGCAATATCTTCGACTGGTAGTATATGTAACGGTGCATGTACCACAAGAGGCTGTGTGTAGCTTCAAAACTTAGTTATAAAAGGGAACCTGTAACTTTGTACTGCTGGTCATGGGTACTTTAATTCTTGTAATACGGATCTCTATCCCGATTAATGTTATGGTGATAGAGAGGCGGCACTCTTAACTGGGATTTAAGCGGTGCCTAGGATTGCAAAATACTTTTTCCTCAGTTTTTGGCAACCCCGTGGTCTGGCTGGCAAAACTCTAGCTTCACACGCCGAGGGCCCGGGTTCGATTCCCAGGAGGGTAGAAACACTTCGAACGCGTTTCATTACACTTGTTATTCTGTGCACTTAGCAGCAAATGGGTACCTGGGTGTTAAACTGGTGTGAGTCACATCCTGGGTGGATAAGACTGAATACCCAATGGAAATGAGTCCTCGATGACGTACTGACTTTCTTGGGCGACTAACCCTCGGAGGTTAAAAATCCAGACAATATCTTATCGTATCCTTTAATGACATTGGTTAACTTTTGACACTACTGCATTGACCCCCGGAACTCTCTCCAGGTAAACTAAGCAGATCTCGACACTACTGTCCCTCTGAAGTACTGAAATCATTGAAAGCATTCCTTCAATGGTGTAAGTGATCTGTAGCCTTAATGACCCTCTTACAGTAAGTACACAGATCAACCTCGCACGAGACTTAGGATGTTTCGGCCTGTCTTGGATCATTTAATCAGTGTAACTTTGTAAATGGTCCATGAAGGACCGAAACGTCGTCTGTGAGGATTGAGTAGTGTTAGTCCCAGTATTATGCTTTTTACTCTTCACAGTACCCCAAAAAAAAAGACCAAAGATGTGTGATATATATGTGTATATATATATATAATATGCATTTAGTTTATGAAAAATTTCTAACGTATAGAGGCCTGGCTGGTATCAATGACATGCAATATAGAAAGCCCCCCCCCCCCTTACTTTTCCAGGAAATTTCCGGTAAATTTTGTCCCCAGGATGCGACCCACACCAGTCTACTAACACCCAAATACCTATTTTACTGATAGGTGAACAGAAACGGCAGATACCTTTAAGGAAACTATCTAATGCTTTCCACCCGTACCAGGGATTGAACCACGGACCTGAGTGCGCTAGTGAAGGATTAAGTAAATGTTAGTATGGAGTTGGTTCAGACAGTGCACGTCTTAAACCAAACAGACTTAAGTGTTTTTTAAAGGGTTTACCTGTAAACTATAAGTTTGGTTTTCTTGAGACCGAATAATCATCAGATAGAAGTGGAACTAAGTTTAATTTTTATGTATAACCTTTTTTTTTTTTTTTTTTTTTTTTTTTTTTTTTTTTTTTTTTTTTTTTTTTTTTTTCTTTAAACTCTTATTAGTGAACAGATTAAACCTCTTGTATAAATTACTTTGCTCCTAACTTTTATTAAATGATTCTTCTACGGGAAATGGATTTATCCTCGCCTTCAATGCAATCTTGGTTGCCAAAAATGTCCATGTACTACATAGATTTCCTCCCCACCCACCTCTCCCCCACACTGCTCAAAACTCTTCACACGTATAAAATTTATTGACATTTGATGCTATAACAAAAGTGCTCTAAAATAACGACAAATGTAGACTACTCCCCTCTTGCTAGAAATCCCTTAAATCACTTAAAGCAACTGCTCGAGAAGAAATTTCTCGCCTAGCTGGTAGTAATAAGTTATCACAAGTTATATACACTGATGGATCTAAACAGGAGTCTTCTGGCAGGGCTGCATCTGCTCTTGTTGCCACCTCCCTTGTTAAAAACGATAATAAATTTGTTACGTATAAGAATTAACTGGGCGTCTACACTGCAAACTGACTTGTTAGCAATCCTTATGGCACTAAAGCTAATCTATGGCACTAGACCTGGGAACCTGGAGTTCCGGGTGTCAACGCCCCCTCGGCCCGGTCTGTGACCAGGCCACCTGGTGAATCAGAACCTGATCAACTAGGTTGTTACTGCTGGCTCCACGCTAGACTCTGGAATCAATAATGATTGTCATCATTGAAGGCTCTAGACTCTAAAGACTACAACATGCTCATTGGAGAAGCCAGGTATAGATACTCCAAAATCCGGGACAAAGGAATTAATGTAAAATTACTAAGAATCCCATCACACATTGTATTACTCCATGATAAAGTTACAATGTTATCCAAGAAGAATGTAGAATATAACTTTGTCTAGCATTAGGAATAATATTGGAAGAAAATAATTAAAATGATTGTTACAGGAATGCAGTTAGGAGCCTAAGTAGATCTATATCCCGCTATAACATGAATATAGAAAATGCTCATGGAAAAACTTGCAATGTGAACAGACTGATGGATGTTGAAGTGGCCAGGCTTAGGCTTGGTTACAAAAACTTCTGGAATTTTGGGAGACAGATCAAACTAAATAAATTGTGATCTGGCAAATGTTCAGTCTTTAACACTGTGCTTAGTTGTCCACTTATTGAGGAATACAGTATAATCTGTGACGTGTCAAGATATTCTTAATGAAAATAAGATACCGGATATAAAGAATTTCCTATATTTGCTTGTAACGTAAAGTGAACTGTAGATAAAACGCCCATATGTACACCTGTTAACCCTTTCGGGGCCTAGTTCCTAGGCCTTGTGTATCCATATGCTCTTGCGCTTCCGTCCACAGGATGGATATGGGGTGTACAATAAACTAACCACTTCGATGGCTAGTTTATTGTGCATTAGCAATACCATGATGCTGGCGACTCGTCCACCGCTACCCCATCCACTTCAGTGGATAAACTATAACTTACCATTTCTTGGACGCTTTATAAACCATAGTTTAGCGCTTCCACATTCATACTGATAAATTTACTGTCTGGCTTCTTATTTCTTATTTTACGCCAAAACAATAAGTGGGCAAAACTTTCCCAATACCACTTCTTTTAACCTTTCTCTAACATACCGCAGTATAACTGATTAATCTTTCAAAGTCTATTTAATTTTAATGAATTGACCAAGTTATAGCCCTTAATATTTTCACCTGAGATGTAGGTTTATTTTTCTAGTTATTTCACTTTATCCCACTTGTTTCATTCTATCAAGTTTCTCTAAAGATTACAATGCGGGGTTTACATTTTTTAGGATGTGTGGTTTACATAGTATAAAATACTAATTAGAGGATCGACACCATGCCTAACCCTTCTAGGGTAGGGTAGGTGCCTGAGCCCGAGCCTTTAGCTCATAAGACTGTCATTCCCATTAGCCCACTTGGGGCGGGGATTGCAGACCAGAGAGGCCTAGCTTGTGGCTAGGCCTGGGGACAGTTGGTCCCAAAGATGAGGAGGTACTTGTGCCTCCTCCCATGGGAGACTTAGGTCTCAGACACTCCCTAAAGAGGGAGCCAAGGCCGGGCCACCACTTGGACAAGGCCCGGGCCGGGAGAATACCGGCTAATATTTAATAATAAATAATAACTAATTAGAGGGCCACTATCACCTCTAGCATAAGGCATTTTGGCCAGACTAGTATTAATTCAATACTCTATATTGGTACAAATTATGGAGCATATTAAGTATACGTAACTGCATTACAGTTCGTAAATTTAGCAATGTGAATGGTTTCATCTTGTTACTATACATAGTTTCTACTGAAGCTCCTATATTGGTCTTGACTCTCCCTGAGACTAAAGTCTCGTCTATGAACCTTCAATCCCTTGCTCTCCCGGTCACGCTATTGAAATCAAATTAACCTAGACTATTCCGTGTAGCAAGACGGGAAGATGGAGAGCAGTACTAGCAACAACGACCGGTGGATCCGGCCAGCCATGCCCCTTGAAGAATGGTTTGAGATGGGCCACACGCATGGAACCTTCTTAGCTTGCTATGTTTTAACACTTGGTTCTCCTCTGCCCCTCGACCACAACCACGTCAAGCAAGCACTACTTCACTTGTACAGGTAAGATTCACGTGGAAAAAATTTTTTCACTGATTAATGAATATTTTACTAAAAAGGCAAGTAAGCTATAGCCTAATTTAAATAGGCATTAGTTTACTAATACATTTTAAACTGACTTTGCTTTTACCCTACGAAAACTGTTTATTCTAAATCAAACATAACCTCTCATTCCCCCAGGTGTTACGTCCCTTGCAAATTTATAGCATCAGTACTACAGTACTTTGAAGTTTCAGCGGTAACCGTATAAGACTTGTGGTGGGGTCTAGGTCTGGTCCCAGTCTTCGTGGCTATGGCTGTACCTTCATATTTCTCTAGTCTTTAGTAGTGTTTTTTTTTTTTTCCCTGCTAAAAGCCAAATAACTTATTCTGCCGTAAACTTTTAAGTGCTGTGACAGATAAACTAAACTTAGGTTGTAAGCAAGTAGAGCTTTCTTTACTTTCTAAACTAAAACTTTCACTTAATCCAGAGTCGACAAACTTCTGGAGCTTCTCATAAAGCTACGTTGGCCCCTGGGAATTGGCTTGCACCTTTTTAAATTTTTTCCCCGATTCTTCCATTTTTATAGCACTTCTCTTGTAAAATTTGTTACATTACCTCACTTTACTCATTAATGGAAGGTAATAAGTTTATAAATTAGCTTTAATCTCCGGGTGACAGTTATATTTACTTTTGTCTTCGCCATTGATTACTCCACAGTAACTAAATGTAAGTTTATAGCCGAATACTACCTTTTACATATTTAGGTTCCATTACCCTGGGTAATGGGTTTTCTGACACCCCCGGGAAAATTTCATTACATATTACATGGCTTCTTACGAAAATGGTTTTTACGCATAAATTTTTTTCATTGTGTGCTAATTTATAGAAAGTTATCTGTAAAAGCTACTCGCAAATGTATTTGTAAAGCCCCAACGTTTACATTAGTTAGTGTCTACTTCATCCTTTTCTGTCATGAACACCATTGGCTCAACTTCCCGCTGCCTCGAAAGCGTAATAAGATTGCAAACAAAGCACAGTACAGGGAGGGATTTAACTCTCCATGACTTCAATCCCCTACCGTATCATGGCTTCGTGTCAATAACCTGTGATCACCCTTTTTCAACGATCTGTTAATGTTAACTTTCTCTAGGAAAGTGCCCAGCCTTCGCTTGAGTTTGGACACCCGTGACGGAGTCCTCTGGTTCAAGGAGTCGGCTCGTGAGAAAATAGATTTTGAGGTAGGTTTTTTAAACTAGTCCATACTAATCTTTCAGTTTATTTTAAATCTATTTGGTTATCTACAAAGTTTTAGCATTAAGCCCACAGGGATAATAGTGCCTCATCCAGGACAGTAAGGGCATAAAATTAATCATTTTAAAGCATAATGGTAAAGCTAAAAACTATACTGAAAGAGTGAGGACAGGTGGTCAGTTCTTCACTTTTATGTAACATTGTTTAAACCTCGAGCACGGCCACCCCATCTACTCCTCGGCTACCTCTTCTATATTGAGAAAAATCTTTAGAAGCAAACTTTGCAAGAGTACACTCCGTAATTATAAGTTTAGCCTGTCAATTCTATAACTTGTCTTGGATCATCCACTTTGGTAATCTCTGCCTGCAGTTAATGATTTAGGGTTATGTATACCCCTGACAACACTGTTTCTGAGGTCTTTTCTTGGCGAAGGCAAGGGGTGCCCTTTGTTCGTCGTGTAAAACTTTTTGAATTTTAGCATTTGGATGAACAGTCTAGGGTAGACTGTATCCTTGGGTAATTAGTACCTCCTAGTCGGTAATAAATGGCCTCCCTCCCCCCCCCCCCCCTGTGTAGTTCAGGTGATTTATCTTTTATTTCCTGCAGCATGATTCAGTTCATCCTTAAAGAATAGACTTCTAATAATTGCTCAAATAGCGAGGATGGTGTTGGTTTGGCAGTACCTTACTCTTAGTTCTTAGTATTCACCGAGAAGCTCCATACAATTTGACGTTGCCTTTGATCTTGGTTCACTGTACTAATTGACATGTCTTTCACAAGATCGACTTACTTGATGCTACACAAAAATGTGAAGTTTTGATTGCATCTCAAGAAATTAACATCTGATGTATTCATTCATCTCAACCTGCGGGCTGAGAGGACTTTCTGAGCCTGCTCCTGCTTACACCTGGTGGCGAACCGTGTACTACAGTACGCAAGATGGCGGATCGTCAGGGTAGAAGAGTAAACACGGTCTGTTTAATTCATTCGTGGCTCTGTGGTGCAACGATGCATGTCTTGTTGCCTACCATTATTCACGACGTCTACGGCATCCCCACTGAGGAATTATATGGTGTGGCTCTCAATGGGATGTAGAGGTTTTTTGGTAAAATTCGCAAATGCCGGCTTTTACTCAGATTGTGGAAGCTTTTTCAAGAGGAAAATGGCGGTGAATTCGGCCGTAGAGGTTTGCCTGCATGACGTCTCCACATACGTCACCTGGGTCAAAGTAAGGAACGTGCCTTTCGAGGCGGAGGAGTATGTTATTCGGAAAGTTTTTGGTAGATACGGCACGGTACATGCAGCGACCAGGGGAGTGTGGAGGGAGGGCCCATAAGAGGGGCTCCCGGAAGGCTCCTGCACCCTCAAGATGACGTTAAAACAGCCGATTCCATCTTACGTTCATCTTGAACACTACAGGACCCAAGTTTTTGTTCACTATGCAGGCCAACGGAAGACATGCAGGTTATGCAACTCTTATGACCATATGGCTGCTCAGTGCTCCAGACGCCTTGTTGTACGCATCCAGGAACCTTCTTCTGTGGTTCTACGAACCGAAGCCTTTGATCTGGAGACTGGTCCCGCGCCTGAACAAGGACCTAAGCTTTGGAGTGAGGAAGTACAACAAGAGGAGACGCGGTCTATGGCGTGTGCCACCATGTTGGAGACTACAAACGTGCCCACCACCTGTGGAGTTGTCACAGGAAAGTTTGCTGGAGAACGTGCTAAACTATCTCCTGGATAGGGCAGAGCATAGCCCAGACGTTCCACTGGAGTGTCAAGAAGTGGTGAAGGATGATTCACCCAATATGGGAGACCTGGACGTGACTACAATGACTGTTGCATGAGGTGGTGGTGGAAGTCCACCAGGAGGCTTTGTCTGGTGAGATGTGTGTGGAAGGTGGTTCCCGCAAACGGACGGCAGGAGCGTCTGATATGGACGAGGTACTGACACTGGAACAGCGTCCAGGGAAGAAATTATGGTCAAAAGTGGCTGAGGCGCCTCTTGCAGCTGGGGTTATGGCAAGCGCCCAGCATATGGGTAGGGCATGGGAGGAGGGGGGGGTGAGGAGCCTTGGGAAGTCAAAGGTCAAAGGAGGTCAGTGTAATGTACGTGGGAACGGGAAAGACCCACAGAGGAAAACCTCCTTTTGTGAATTAGTGTTACCATCAATGTAAATGGCCTGTGGGCAGAGTTTAAGTCCGTGTGGATGGAGTGGTTCTTGCGCAGGTACGCTGTGGACGTATGTTTCGTGCAAGAACACAATTATAAGTTTGGGGGAGAGTTATGGTTAAAAGGCTACCGAATGTATGTTAGCAGTTCTTTAAAATTAAAGGGCAGGGTAGCTATAGTGGTGTAGTAGTCCAGCCCTTGGCATGTCTTGAGGTGGGAGGGTAGATGGGTACTGGGGTGAGGTGAGGGTTTTTTTATTGGCGTTTACATGCCTGTGGAAAGCAACACAAAAGTTAAAATAGAATTTGTGAGGGAGGCTTTAACATTTACACTGGGGGGGGGGGGGGGGGGGGGGGGGGGGGGGGGTTGCCGTTCATTACCATTCATGGGGTGGGGATTGGAATAGTTACCCGCCATGGCGATGTTGAGCCGAGGGGGGGGGGGTGCGTTTTACCTGCTTACGGAATCTGCTGGGGGATGCAGGGTTTGATGTGATGTGATGTGTGTGGTGGGGCGGGGTGGGTGGGGATGGAGCATACGCTCGTTCGCAGAGGCTATTCGGCCCGTCTGAGTAGACTTTATGTAACTCGAGGAATTAGAGTTGGGCACGTACAGACCTTTGATGTGGGGTTTTCAGATTACCGTGTAGTGCTAGCAGACTTGGACTGGGATGGAATGATCAGGGTTTATCCAGGTTATTGGAAACTGAACGTATGGCTATTGGAGGGGGATGGGGTCCACTTTTCAGGACTGCTGGAAGAATCTCTGGGAAATGCGAAGGGCAGGTGAATGTTTGTTGGAATGGTGGGAAACGCATGCCAAACCCGGAATAGCGAGTTGCTATAAGAAGCAGGGAAAAGAGGAGGCGAAGTGGAGGTATGGGCTGCAAAACTATCTGGAAGGGCAGCTAAATGATTACTATGGGGGGGGGGAGTAGTAGGTATGACTACATTGAACATCATCGTAGTAGACTTGCAGAAATTCACAATGAACGTTTCAATGCAGTTAGAGCAGGTATGAAAAGTGCTCTGGGGTGACAAACCTTCGGATTGTCTTGCTCAAATTTAGGGTAAGACAACAGGCGACGTCTCTTGCAATTGGAAGTAAGGGGTTTGGGTGGTTACCTGCCGGGTCAAGTACTCCTCACCATGGACAGCATGAGTTTTTATGCTGATCTATGGCTTGAGGAGAAAGCTACGGCAGGTAGTAGGGGGGGCCCATGCGGGTGGCCTGGTGGGGAGGGATTTCAGAAAAGTTATTAGTGGCAGGGATAGAACGGTACTAGAAGGTAGAATTCGAGTGGAGGAGGCGATTTTTAGTATGAGTGAAGGAAAGGCACCCGGTATAGATGGCATTTTGAATTTTTTGATAGAGTGCATTGGGGAAGTATTAAGCATTGTTTGGTTGATGTATTAAATTGCATGCTCACGGAGGGGAGGTTAGGTATGTCGCAAAGTACGGGGGTAGTTGTGTTGGTGCCCAGAAAGGGAGGGGTGAGGGGTCCGAGTGCATATAGATCAATATCTGTGTTTGGACTATAAAATCTTTGCAAAAGTCTTAGGAAACAGAATGAGGAAGGTTATGGGGTCGGTTAT